ACAAATGCTATGGTAATGGTGTAATGTCAAGCTCTTGAGAACACAGGTCTAATCCAACAGACCTTGTGCGCTTTTCAACTGGTTAGAGAGATACTGGCCATCTGTGTTGCCAGGGCCTCCAAATGGAACCCCAAACTGGCACTTAACTGTCACTGTGACCGTGTGTGGAACAGTGCCTATCACCAGAGAGACCCTGGCACACACCAGGGCATGAGACACAGAGGCAGGCAGAGAGGGCGTTGGGCAGCTGGCCAGGCACATAGAGGGCTGCTGAGAGGCAAAGCACCACTGCCACCGCCAATACAAAAAGCTCCGCTCTCGTCTGTCTCTCTTTTCGAGGAAGGAGGGGCAGCCGTCTGCTCCCCGCGGTTCAGGACTGCTGAAGCACGGAGGAGAATGAGGTCGTGGGGATCGCAGGCGGATCTGGCTGATGAGTTTAAGGAGGGGCTTTCCCTCTCGCGCTCATCGGCCGTGGACGAGGGTGAGCCGCTGGAGGATGATGATGTGATTTCCCTAACATCGTCTGATCCAGCGGCCAGTGCTCTGCTGGGTTTGGCCCAGGAAGAGCAGGAGATGTCTGAGGAGGGCGAAGAAGTTGAGGCTGAGCCTTCCCAATCCTCCTGTCCTGCGTATGATGAGCTACTGGAGGTTATGGATCACGCCACGGCGAGGCTTGACTTGCCGTGGAAGCGGGCCAGGAAGGTGGCGCCGCGAGGTCGTCTCGACAAGCGTTTTCTGTCTGACCATAGCCCCCCAGCTCAGGTGAGCCTTTCTTTTCTTCCTGATCTCCATACGGAGGTCGAGAAGGAATGGAAGAGGCCGTTTTCTTCACGCATCCATCGGTTTCAGCATACGAGTTATGCCAACATTGAGGGGATGCGCGAAAGCGGCTATGAGAAGATGCCCCCTGTAGAAGAGACGCTGGCTAGCTATCTCTCTATGGGTGAGACATCCTCTCTCAAGACTCCCTTCTTGCCATCTAAGCCCCTTCAGGATACATCTTGCTTAAATGGCAGGGCATATGCAGCAGTTGCTTCGTTGCACACGATAGCGGTGCTTCAGGCGTATCAGGCTGATCTACTGAAAGACCTGGATAAAGGGAAAGGCCTTTCTCCTGATGAGGTAGCTGAGTTGCGCCGCACCACGGATCTTGCTCTCCGTGCTACTAAGCAGGCCGCCTCTGCTACGGGCAGATCTATGGCGGTAACGAAGAGACATCTGTGGGTGAACCTGGCAGATATCGGGAAGAAAGAGAGGGGCTTTCTCCTCGATGCTCCGGTTTCGCCTTCCGAACTTTTCGGTACCTC